TTAGGCTTGGGTTCAGTTTATTGCATAATGGGAAAATGATTGGCCAGCAATACATCAATCAGTGCTGTGGAAACAATATCACAGAAAGACATGGCAGGGAGATCTTTTACCCAGGGGAAAGAGGGCAGAATTTGGAATCCGAAGACCTGAGTGTGAATTCTACTTCTGTCATCTACAGCCTGTGTGACTTTTTTTAGTCACTTCCTCTCTCTTGGCCTCAGTTCCCTTATTTGTTAAATGGCATAATTGAACAAGATGACTGCTAAGGAATGCTGGGATTTGGAGGGCTCCCCCTTTATGAAAATGAATATTGGGGGTAATATCTCCCATTACTTATTCTTTTCAGTTTTCACTTGGAATGCTTGGACTGCCCCAGAAAGTTTCAGCTGCTCCTCAAACAATTGTTCAAATACCTGGGGTTTCATTCCATCACCAAGCTTGGTTTCTCTAATGCAGAACTCTCCACTATTCCATGCATAACTTAGCCAGCTTTCTCCTTGAGTAATGGTGACAGGGCCTTGAAAGGACACTAAGAATGTTCCACTGCCCCTGGGATCCCTGTCAGTAATCATAATATGCTTGTCAGATCTAAATGTGACAATTGAATGTCTCGTAGCCTGGAGAAAAAATCGTCTTGCACCTTGTGGGATTTTCATTCCTTAGATCACACCCTGTCAGAATCCCTGCAGTTCTCTGAGAGCTTCGTGGTGCAGCCAGAGCTCTGTGGTATGTATGAGCCTTGCAGGAGACGCAAGCACAGGCTGTAGAGGATTAGCCTTGGCGGGCAGCACTCTGAGGTCAGCCCATAGTGACCTATCGATGTATTCTTGGTCTCCTGTCTCTGGGTATACCATGTGTCTGTGCATCTGCATCTTCTGCTGTATGATCCTAGATAAGTGATTTCACTTCTCTGAGACTTAATTTCCTCCTCTGAAAAATGGAACAATAACAATCATAGAAGTTATCTCAAAGGAATATTATGATATTCCAAGGACATGATATAAGCAAAACACTTTACAGACTTTAAAATAACATATAGAGGTCAGCATTCATTATTATAGTTGTTGTTATAACTCTTGGGAACATATTGGCTTAGTAGACAGACCTGTGTTCAACTCTCATCTTAGACACTTATCAACTGTGTGACCTTGGGCAAGTATCTTAATCTCTCTGATTGTAACCATCAAAATGGGGATAATAATAGCACCTCCCTCACAAAGGGGATTGTGAGAATATGATGAGACACCCTATGTAAGAAGAATTCATGACCAAACAGGAGATAGAGAACATTATGAAAAGCAAAATGGATCATTTTGATTACATTAAATTGAAAAGTTTTTGCACAAACAAAGCCAATGCAACTAAGATTAGAAGGAAGGTAGAAAATTGGGCAAGAATTTTTACAACCAGTCTCTCTGGTAAAGGCCTCATTTCTAAAATATATAGAGAATTAAGACAAATTTATAAGAACACAAGCCATTCCCCAATTGATAAATGGTCACCAGGATATGAACAGACAGTTCTCAGATGAAGAAATTAAAGCCATCTATAGTCATCTGAAAAAATGCTGTAAATCATTACTGATTAGAGAAATGCAAATCAAAACAACTCTGAGGTACCACATCACACCTATCAGATTGGCCAACATGGCAAAACAGGAAAATGATAAATGTTGGAGAAGATGTGGGGAAATTGGAATGCTAATACATTGTTGGTGGAGTTGTGAAATGATCCAACCATTTTGGAGAACAATTTGGAACTATGCCCAAAGGGCTACAAAAATGTGCATACCCTTTGATCCAGCAATAGCACTTCTAGGGCTATATCCCAAAGAGATCAAACAAATGGGAAAAGGATGCACATGTACAAAAATATTCATAGCTGCTCTTTTTGTGGTGGCCAAGAATTGGAAATTGAGAGGATGCCCCTCAATTGGGGAATGGCTGAGCAAGTTGTGGTATGTGAATGTAATGGAATACTATTGTGCTATAAGAAATGATGAACAGGCTGACTTCAGAAAAACCTGGAAAGACTTGTATGGACTGATGCTGAGTGAAGTGAGCAGAACCAAGAGGACTTTGTACACAGTAACAGCCACGTTATGCAATGACTAAGATTGTTAAACTGAACCCTTCTCAGCATTATGAGGATCTAAGACATCTCCAGAGGCCTCGGGACAGAAAATGCTGTCCACATCCAAAGAAAGAACTGTGGAAGTCGAATCGCTATCACTTATTTTTACCTTCTGTTGAGTTTTATTTCATCTTGGTGATGGTTCCTCCTATTGGTTTTAATTTTTACTTACAACTTCACTAATGTGAAAATATGTTTAATGGGAATGTAAATGTAAAGCCTGTATCAGATTGTGCCGCATCTTGGGGAGGGTAGGGGAGAGGAAGGGGGAGAAAAATTTTCAACTCAAAAGCATATGGAAATGGTTGTTGACAAATCAAAATAAATTAATTTAAAAAAAGAAGACACCCTATGTAAAACACTTTGG